GGGGGGGGGGGGGGGGGGGGGGGGGGGGGGGGGGGGGGGGGGGGGGGGGGGGGGGGGGGGGGGGGGGGGGGGGGGGGGGGGTACTCTTTGCGTGCCTTAGCGGCTAGACCATTGACCACGCGTCCTCGAGAGAACGGTGTTTGGGGGGGGGTGGGGGATTCGTGAATAGCATCGACCGCGCCTACCCGGCAGATCATTGAAAAGACGTCAATCATGTAGCGGGATAAGAAACGCGGACATGCTTTCTATTTGTGTGTATGTAAGGCGTTCACATCGACCGCGCTACATATCCGGCTGATGAATGAAAAGATGCACCAAAAATTCCCATGTGTATGTCTTTATTGTCAACATCGACCGCGGTAACCGGTGATACATGAACTACCGCGAGTCTCAGTGCGGCTGAAAGCACGAAATTCTTCTGACGACCATCAATCATCTGCGACCGCGTAAGGGTTTGTCGTGGGAGAGGGCTAAGCTGCTCTCTGGATGAACGACACTTGTGTGTGTTTTCGTGTGTTTCCTGTATTTCGTGTGTACGGACGTGATACCGGTGGTCGCCTTCGGCCAGAACTTCTCCGAAGTGTCGTGGACAAAAACATTTGATGTGATACATACCCCATTTTTCAAACTTTTACGGCCTTTTCTTTTCCACGTCGGGAAATCAACATGGAGCTCTGTCCTCCCGCCCCCTTTCTTTGCCTTCAACCGACCTAAGCAGATCTCGAGTTTGATTTTTGTTGTCCTGGTTTTCGGCGTCTGGTCAATTTGTGCCGGGCCCACTTTGATAACGCAGGTGGTCAACTTCGGCCAGAACGCCGCCCGAGGGCAGAACGCCACCAAAGTGGTTGTAAAAACCACCCGGGACGCTCAGTTCCAGCTGCTGCACCTTTCGGTGCTGAGGGAGTACGTGTGGGCGGAATTCACGCGGGACATGCCGGAGGAGACGGTGAGATTCTAAGCAGATCAACAACGTGCGTACTGTAGATAACGTAAGATATCACACCCACTGTTGCTGAGGGTGTACGTGTGGGTGAAGTTCGCGCGGGACATGCCGGAGGAGTCGGTGAGATATGTACACGGGTCAACGTGTGTACCGTAGGTGACGTAAGATAT